CCAAATCAAACCTAAAAATGACTCAACCAAAGCACATAAAACACAATAAAATACCACAAAAACATAACAAACATTACTCTAAGTCAAACAAAATATATATTGAATATTCTTGGTGCTATAAACGTGCTAGGATGTACACCAGCTCTAAACCCTTGCCACTTGGAGTTAAGTAAGATCTGCAATGAGGTTAACCATGTCACTGCCTGAAACTTATAGGAGATTAATTGGGAGGTTGTTATACCTTCGAATGACTAGACTTGATGTGACTTATGCTATTCAACAACCAAGTCAATTCATCAATGATCCACATGATTGGACTGCAGCATTGCATATGCTAAGATACTTGAAGTTAATTCTTCTTTGGGATTGCTTTATCCAAAGCACAGATGATCAATCTCGCAGAAAGCATATTGTGATGCAGATTGGGCCACATGTAGAGACACTAGAAGGTCAGTGACTGGGTATTGTATCTTCCTAGGGGACTCACAGATTTCTTGGAAAAATATTGAATCTCGGTTCACGCTCAAACTAGTACTCCGAACTGATTATGCTCGAATTGTCCAGACTATCTGGACTAACTCGGCTGAACTGGACCGGCGGCTCGAACTGAGGCGACCGGTTGCTCGTCTAACTGGGTGCAACTTGATTTAATCGTGTTCTGAGTACATACGCACGGACAAGACATCAACCGACGCACAAATTTTCTACTCGGATCTAGAGTTCATCTGGACAGATTGGAAAAAGGTCGAATTAGGGTTCTCTACTCAACCGTCTATCTATCTCGGTTCAAGACGAAACTCAAACTCTAAGTTCAACGTGATTTCTAGTGATTTTAGGCCTAACAACTGCAACTAAATCTCAACTGGAATAATATCTAGGGTTTTCAATAAAAAGCAGCTAAAGCCCCAAATTTTTAGGCATACTAAACAGTCTTAAAAAATTTTAGGTATGTGGAAGGTTATTTATAAACTTTCCATTCAGAGTAAGATCAAAACATTCCTATGGAGATGCTGGTTTAAGTACATTCGTTCTAGAGTCCAATTGAGAATTAAGGGGATTGAGTGTGATGTTGTGTGTAAATTTTGTAGGGAGGAGGAAGAAGATTTAAAACATATTCTCTTTCATTGTCATATAGTAAGTTATGTTGGAAGCTGCTGGGGGTTTCTTGGGACTGTCTGGATATAAGGAGTGTGGGTTTGGGGAGTGGTGGGTGGTTGTTTGCAATGCTAACAAATCTCCAATCATGACAGATAGAATCAGTCTTTCCACATACATCCTATGGTGGTTGTGGAAAACTAGAAACCGTTGAATTTTTTTAGAAAACTTGGGTGAGGAGGGAGAGGATTGTCCAAAAGGCTAGAGATGATTGGTTGCTATTCAGTGAGGTGAGAGTGAGGGTTTGTAGAAGCTTATCTGGTAGAAAAGATGAGGGGATTGTGAGGATGAGGGGAAATAGGAGATGTGAGGGGAACATGGTGTTAGAGTAGTATACCCCGCGTTCCAATCTGATTGGACGTATTCTACTTGTAAATACAATCTATTGGAATTAT